GAGCTGGAGAACATGAGGCAGGGCGACGCCTGGAAGAAGTGGGTCAAGGCTCGACGCTCTGCCTGGCAACGGGTGCTCCATTCATGGAATGCCAGGCCCCGTAAAACCCGTTACCGTTTTTGCTTCATTTCTTTCTGTTATGGCGCACTCCAGAAAAGGTCGGCGCGGAAATCTTGTGCAATTGGTGAGGCCCCAAATCCTACGTGTGCTTAAGTTTGTTGTTTCGTTCCTTTTTCAGTTAGAAAAATGTCCTGCTTTTTCGACAGAAAATGAAATACAAGCGATAATAAGCTACCCGCGTGCCAGAGTTATGTCCACCCCAGGTTATTCAGGACCGACGGTTTGGGGAGCATGGGAAATGCTTCCGTCGTCGCCCGCACGTCCCCTTTGTTGCCTCCCCTCCCCCCGACCGAACCCAGCAGTGCCCCCGTTCCCCGCTCCACTTCCCTGTCCCCGACTCCCAGACCGAGGATCATTCCCCCTCGCTCTCTCTCTCTCTCTCTCTCTCTCTCACACACACACCGTCCCCCTCCTTCCGAAGCCTTGCATGGTCGTGGTAATGGCCGTGGCCTAGGACCGCGGTAAGGGCTGCGGTAAGTGCAGCGGTCCAGGGCCGCGGTAAGGGCCACAGTAAGGCCATGTCAAGGCTCCCGTTCAAACGGGGGGCCCATCTGACGGGCCCAGGGGGGGCATTTTTTGGGGGGCTCCTTCTCTCGCCTTACCATTTCCACGGTCGCCGAGGGGGTCGACGGCGTCGCCGAGAATTCGGGGGCCAGCGTGCCCAGTCTCTACCAGGGCGGGGTTCCGATGCCCGCCCTCCTCCTCTTCTCTTCTGCCTCCTCGTGCGTCCGTCCGTTGCCATTTTGGCTCGCGTCTCGGGCTCCACCGTTGCGGCGCGCGCAGTCGCCGCGACTGCTGCGGTTTTGAGTGCGACATGACGCTTCGCGCTGCGGCGGGGTTCGCAAGCATGGGCGGCGCGCCAAGAACACAACAATTCATATAGATTTGGCGATGTTGCCTCGAGCACAGCGCGGTCCACTGGAGAAAGGTCCTTGCGTTTGAGGGTCGTAAGAGTTGACAGCTCCTCCTCGGCGACAAGCGGCGGAAGCCGGCGGAAGCAAAACGTGCACGGCTCCGCGGCGAAAGGCCGGCGGAAGTTGGCGAAAGTTTCACGGTCTTTGGAACCCGAGCATACGCTGAGAGATCTTGCTTTAAGACCTTGCCAGGAAATTGCGACGCCGCACCTTCTGTGGCAGCCCGCGACTCCGCTGGGGTCTCCACAGCCATGGGGGAATAGAGCCACTGCCGTGCGGCATCCGTTGGCAGGCTGGTTTCTCATCTGGTGCGCCTCATTATGTATTCCCCTCCGTCATGGGCGGTGTGATATTTTGCCCGGTCCCCCGTGGAATTGTGCATGCGCTGGATGATGGTGTTCATGATAGCACGGCGCGGCGTGCTGCGATTGGAAGACGTCTCGAAGCGGCTGGTCGCCTGCAGAGCCAGACGGAAAGCAGGACGAAGAGTTAGACGATGCGCTGTGACAACTTGGAGGATGCGCGATGGCAAGTTGAACGAATAGTTTCATGGAAAGCCAGCCGCAGGCACCAGCTGTCCCCAAACAGCTGCACAGCTCGCTGTTGTGGTAGAAGCTAGTTCCGCCCGGGGGCCCCCCGCAACGAGACATCCTCAAACAAATGAGATGGTCCGTGCCGTTTCGCCCGAGACATTCTCATACATCTCGTTTCCGAGTTGGGCGGGATTCAGCGAGGATTCGGCGGTTCACCTGCGACATCCTCGCAACTCTTAGCTCTGAGATGCCGCGTGGGAGGTTGTCCGGCTCGTTTCGCCTGAGACATCCTCGCATCTCCGGGCTCCTAGATGCCGCGCGCGAGGTGGACTGGCGCGGTTCGCCAAAGACATCCTCACAATTTTGGCGTCCGAGAAGCGCTGGAGACGTGGTCCGGCCCGTTTTGCCTGAGACGTCCTCGCAACTCTGGGCTCTGAGAAGATGTGCGCGAGAGGAGGTGCGGCGTTCGCCTGAGACATCCTCGCAATTCGGGGCTTCGAGCTGCTGCGCGCGCTAGAGGTGGTCTGGCCAGTCTGGCCTGAAACATCCTCGCAACTCTGACCTCCGATGTGCCGCGCGAGGGGTGGTCTAGCGCTCGTCGCCTGAGATATCCTGGCAAATCTGCGCTCCGAGATGCCGCTAGAGAGGTGGTCCAGCGCGTTTCGCCTGAGACACCCTTGCAATTAGTTAACTCTGGGCTCCGAGGTGCCGCGCAAGAGGTGGTCGGCCCGTTTCGCGTGAGACATCCTTGCAACTCTGAACCCCGAGACGTAGCGCACGAGGTTGTCTGACTCGTTTCGCCTAAGACATATTCGCAATTTTGGGTTTTGCCATGCCGAGCGCGAGGTGGTCCAGCGCGTTTCGCTTGAGACATCCTCACAAGTCTGTCACCCGAGATGTCTGTCGCGCGCGTGGTGGTCCAGCCTGTTTCACCTGAGGCATTCTCGCAATTCGGGACTCCGAAGTGCCGCGCGAGAGGTGGTCCGGCGCGTTTCGCCTAAGACGTTTTCACAACTCTGAGCTCCGAGATGTCGCGCGCAAGGTGGACTTGCGCGTTTCGCCAAAGACATCCTCGCATGTCTGAGCTCCGAGATGGCGCGCGCGAGGTTGTTCAGCCCGTTTCGCGTGAGACATCTTCGTAACTCTGGCATCCGAGACGTCGGTCGCGCGCAGGGTGGTCCAGCCCGTTTCGCCTAAGACACCCTCGCAATTGGGGGCTCCGAGATGTCGCGCACGAGGTGGATTTGGCGCGTTTCGTCAAAGACGTCCTCACCATTCTGGCATCCCACATGTCTGTCGCGCGAGAGGTGTTCCAGCCCGTTTCACCCCGAGACATCCTCGCACTTCGGGGCTCCGAACTGCCACGCGAGAGGTGGTCCAGCCCGTTTCGCCTGAGACGTCTTCGCAACCCTGAGCTCTGAGATGCCGCGCGTGAGGTAGACTCGGGCCAACCGAAAGGGGCGGATAGGGAAAGGGGCGGATAGACCAGGACATCCAGGCGCTCATCGAGACAATGCCAGTCATGAGTCCCGACGCGGCTTGACAGCACGGCCTATGGGCCACGCCGCTTGCATTGTACCACCTCCTGGATTAAAAAGTCTGGATCGGCCCTACAAGGCCCCTTGCGTCCTCGCTCACCGAGTGTATATGGAGCAATGGCCCTCGATGGATCTTCGGCTCCCGATTTCGGACATGGCCTCCAAGACGAGCCCATGACGACGCCGCGCGCCGAACAGCGGCACAGCACCGCAAAGCATCGATCACCAGAACCAGAAAGTTCTATTTTTGAATCGCGCGCGTCTAGACAACTAAACGCGCATTGCAGAATCTTTCAAGGAATGACGCTACTTCCAGACATCAGAAGTCGGACCGGAAATTCTTTAGCGAGGAAGTCTCAAGCGAAATTGCACATTTCCGATCGCCTCTGAAAGTTTCAGGTCCTCTGAAACCCGATCGGACATTTTTTCGAGAGAAGTCTTGGGCGGAGTGCGAATTTCCGATCTTCGCCCCATTTGGCGATTATAATATTGAAGGGGGTGAGGCAGGAATCGGAAATCCGCCATGGCGATCTCGGCAACATTGTACTGGGGCCCCGCAGCCTAACGGGACACGCTCAACGCTAAGTTTCCGCGACCTCTGCGGTCCGGACTTTTTATTCGGGGGGAAGTAGTGCCAAGCGGAAGGATTTCAAGCTCGACGCCGAGAGGAAAATTGGCATCACGGCAATGCTGACCTTTGCTGCAGTCGCAGGTCGCAACGACGACACAGATTTCAGAGCGGAGTTATCCGTGTACAGATTTGCGCAGGCCTCCGTGGAAATCCTCGATGTCCAGCTCAAGAAGGCATACACGGAGCAGCACGATTCAAGCTGTTTTCACGAGAAGTGGTGCTTTCACAATGGCGGTGGCTTCGCTTCCCCTTTCCGTCATCATCCGAGGACCTGAAGCGTGTTTTGGTAGAAGTAGAGGGAGGAAGACACACGCAAACGAGGAGGAAGAAGAGGGTAAGGCAGAACACGGAGGAGGAGGATGAGGAGGAGGAGGAGAAGGAGGATGATGAGGAGAAGAAGGATTCGGATAATGAGGATGGATCGGTGATGATGATAGCCATACTGATGTTGTTGATGATGGCGGGTCTGAGGTGATGATGATGACTTTGTTGATGAGGATGTTGATGCTAATGCTGACGAGGAAGAGGAGAAGGATTGCGATAATGTTGATGCTGCTAATGCTGTTGCTGATGCTGATGCTGATGATGACGATGATGATGAGGAGGATACTGATGATGTTGATGATGGTGGTGATGATGCTGATGTTGATGATGGTGAGGATGATGATGCTGACGAAGATGATGATGTTGATGTTGCTGTTGATGGTGATGATGATGCTGATGTTGATGATGGTGAGGATGATGATGACGAAGATGATGATGTTGCTGTTGCTGTTGATGGTGATGATGATGCTACTGAGGATGATGATGATGATGATGATGATGATGATGATGATGATGATGATGATGATGATGATGATGGTCGGACGAGGAGGAGGAGGAAGGAGGAATTCAGGAGGAAAGAGGAGATGGTCAAATCAGGAGGATGAGGAGGAGGTGGAGGAGCAGGGAAAGGAGGAGGAGGACGAGAACAAGGATGCAGATGATGATGGCTGGTGATGACGATGATAGCCGTACTGATGTTGTTGATGTTGGTGAGCTTGAGGTGAGGATGATGATTTTGATGATGACGATGCTGATATTGATGCTGACGAGGAGTAGGGGAAGGATTGCGATAATGTTGATGCTGCTGATGCTGTCGCTGATGCTGATGCTGATAATGATGCTACGATGGATACTGATAATGATGTTGCTGCTGTTGATGATCATGATGTTGAGGATGGTGAGGATGATGAGGATGATGATGTTGATGTTGTTGCTGCTGGTGATGATGATGATGCTACTGATGCTACTGCTGCTGCTGCTGCTGCTG